GGCCTTAATCGCCGCCTGGCTATCGACATATATATTGATATTTTTTATAAATAAATACTTAAATATTAATTAAAAAGAAAAATAAGGAAAACATTCAGTCATAAAATACAAACAAAAATTTTAATATATTTTAATATATTACTACACCCTGGGCCAAAAATATTGGCAAGTTTTAACAATTAATTTTTTTGTTACTTTATTTTTGTTATCTTTAAAATTAATTAAAATTGGGTTTATTTTTTAACACTTTACACTTAAAAATAATGATAATTTATAAAATTGAAAAGGCCATTCAGACGCAACCTACTGAAATTTTGACCTGAAAAGTTTGGGTCTTATTCGTCTTATAAGGGTGCGGCTACCTCTCAAAAGGATACGTCGGTAATCACGCTGGTATAGCTTTTGAGTTTGGTAAGTATATACTTAGGGATTCCATAAACAAAGACCAAGATCCTGAAGGACAGTTGAGAAAGGCAATGCAGTTGCAGAAAAAGAGGCATTTAAAAAACAAAGTGTCGAAATAATTATCACTTAAAAAAAAAAAATTGCTAAATATCAATAATAAGTCCTAGCTACCTCAAACTTGCACTTTGTTATACTAAAATTTAATGGGTGAATAACTGAGTACTTAACTTTTTTCTAAAGAGTGCAAATTGCAATACTTGGATGGAAATTCGCAGAGTTTTCTTTAATTTTGCATAAGGTTTGGAACTCTAATTTTTTGGGTGTAGAATAAAATATTTAAAAATAGTTGCCGGTACTGTAAAAACTTCTCTGTACCTAAACTTTATTGACTGACTGTATATCTTATTTAAGTTAAGTACGACAAAAACTTTCGAAGTACTTCATATACATATAAGCTTAAAAAGAATTGAATTTACTTAAAAATCAATATGCTTAAATTTAGACAAGTAAGACAAAGTGAACTAATATTTTTACTTTTAAGCAGAACGCACTTTTGTTTTTTACTTACTACTTAAGTTTAATACTACTACTACTACTAACGTGGTTTATAAATTTTTAATAAATGCGTGTAAACATTTGTGATTGTATTTTCCTTCCTTCAACCGATCGTATTTAATATAGAAGGGAAATGTTTCGACAAGCCTGATTAGAAATGTAGATCTAAGGTGACGAATTTATAACAGGTTGGGAACTACATATAAAAAATGGATGCAGATCGAACTAGATCTCATCTGTCGAATTAGGAACTGGTTTGGAACTAAAGAAAAGGGGATGCAGAACGAACTAGGTCTCATCTGTCGAATTTGGAACTGGTTCGGAACTATAGAAAAAGGGATGCAAAACGAACTAGATCTTATCTGTCGAATTTAGAACTGGTTCGGAACTAGAGCCAAAGGGATGCAACGGGGGACAATTGACACTTCCTAGGACTTCGCAATAGTTAAATTCGCCAGTCGCTAGCATGCAAAAGAGAATTAACGCGTACTAGTCATGGTTCCAAACGCACTAGAACCGAACCAGTTCCGCACTAGTTCGTTTCCCTACAGGGTATCGTCAGTAGTTACTAAAATATCACATTTTCTTATTTCTGGGAATTACCGTTATATGGTAAGTGGGCGTGGTTGCAGTTCGATTTCGCCCATTTTCAATACCAACCTACCTTGGATAAAGGGAAAACCTACATACCAAATTTCCTTGAGATATCTAAATTTTTGCTCGAGTTATTGTGTACACGGACGGAGACGGAACAGACTAGACAGACATGGCTTAATCGACTTCTCTATTCATTCTGAGCATTTATGTATACATTTGTCTATATCTATCTCGATTCGTTTTGGCTGTTACAAACAACCGTTATGTGAACAAAATTAATATACCCTTGTGCACAAGTGCGCTCGGGTATAAAAATTAATTCAACTATCCGACCAAAATCTTACTTTTCCGACCAACCTACCAAATGAAGAAGAAGCGACCAAATTTGGTCGGAAGAGACCCATAGTGGCAACACTGGTTCGTACTCACCTTAACTTTCATTCTTGTATTGGTCTTTATCCAAGTCTTAATTTGTAGCCCTTTATTACCACGTTTTTCTTAAAGTAATACCAAATAATACCATACATTTAAGAAGCACTTGTTTCCGTCCCAAACATTTCCGTTTGCAATTTCCTTTGAATTTGCCAATTTACTCCCAACCAACCAACCGCCACTAAAGAAGTTTCACTTCAAAAAGGTGGCAACTTCTTCAAACGCCTCAAAAATCGTGTTTCTTGAAACTCTTAACATTTTAAAATACCCAGTAACTTGTCTAGGTATATATATTTCAATTAAATTCGAGTTTTCAAACATTCTAGCCATCGGCGTAGCCAGAATGAAATTTAGGGGGTGGCTCGACCCTATTAAGCTGGTATTTTAGACTGAAGACAACGTGTGATTTGATCGGTATGCTAGTATTGTATTTTGGTTGTTAGTGTATTTCTTGCGATCAAATTTTTCGCTGAGTCTAGGTACGTATGTTACACTGTAGTAGCGTTTTGTCTCATTATTAGTTGTTGTGATCGTAGGGTTATTGCGTTTGTCATTAATTTGTGTTGTTATTTGTTTAACTAGGCTATGAATTATGTGCTCCGGGTAGTTGTTACTTCTAAGAATGTTGAATATTTTCTTTATATTTGTGTCATGAAATTGTTGATGGCTTATTTTTAGTATCTTATTAATTAAGTTCTTAGCAGTATTAATTTTGTACTTAGAGGGTTGTGACGACAAATAATTTATTAAACGTCCCGAGGATGTAGGTTTCGAATACCAGTCAAGTATTAAAGAGTCATTTCTTCTATGGATCATAACGTCTAAAAATGGGATCCGGAAATTTGCCTCTGTTTCTATTGTGAACTGCAATTTTCGATGATATTTGTTGAGTGTTTTCAATATAATGTCCACATCCTTTCGTTTAACTATGGCAAAAATGTCATCCACATATTTTACTATAAATTGTATATCAATTTTATAGATTTCTTTAAGTTCTATCATAGTTGCGTTCAGTACATCGGTCATTATAATGTCAGCAATAGTGGGTGAGAGAGGGTTTCCCATTGGCATTCCAAAGGTTTGAATGTAGAACTTTTCGTTGCACGCGAAATAATTATTATCCTTCTGGCAGAAATTAATNTTTTTGGGGATATTCGTCGACTGTTTTATTGTGCTCCATTTTGACATTATGATATTAATGGCTAAGGGTATCGGAATGTTGGTAAACAACGATACCACATCAAAAGACACCAGCAATTCTTCCTCACTTACTTTTACTTTATCCAGTTTATCTTTTAATCTGAACGCATTTTTTATATTGTATTCCTCAGAGATGAGATTACTGAGAATCTTACCTACATATTTGGACAAACCATAACACGGAACATTGATGGACGAACAAATTGGCCTTAACGGCAAGTCAGGTTTGTGGATCTTTGGTGATCCGTAGAGTCGTGGTGCAATGCTGCTGTGCATACGAGTTGTTGTTTACCTCTGTAGTCAATAATTTTGCTTTTGTACAATTCGTCAACCAGGGTGTTGTTCTTCCTCTGTAGCGCATTTGTTGGATCGTTTCTTACTATTTTATACGTGATTTTGTCATCAAGTAGTAGTTTGTTCATCTTTTCTGTGTAGTCCTCTTTGTACATTACCACTGTTTTGTTTCCCTTATCTGCGTCTGTTAAGATAATATCGTCTTTGTGCGACTTTAAGAAAGTTTTGGTCTTACTGAATGTTTCTAATATAAATTTTTCTGCTGAGTTGTGCCTTATATTCCGTTTTAATTGTATTATATTATTGCTGAGTTTGCATCTTGCAATTTCATTGACTCTGTCATCCTTTTCTTGTGGTATGATTTGTTCAATTTCTGCAATCATTCGGATCGGTTGGAAACTAGTCTTCGTTGTGGGTAGTGTGAATTTCCTGCCTAATGACAGCAGCCAGCTTGTTTCTACTGGGAAATCTAAGTCCGTTTTGTTTACAAACCAATTGTTGTTTAAATCTATTCCCAGCTTCTGCATTTGTTGGTATTTTAGTCTCTCGAGCTTAGATGTTTGTATTGTTTCGCGTTCTTTTTTAATTCTCTGGTTGAGGCAGTCTTGCTTGCAGATAAAGGAATCCAGTTCTATTTTGCTTATGCTGTGTTTAAGTTGTTGTTGCGCGTGATGTAGATGGGTCTTAGAAGTCTTAATATTCATGTTTGTTTGTGCAATTTCTATATTGAGTATTTTCTTTAAAAAAGTTGTTTTGTTTTTACGGTTTGTGCTTTTAGTTTGTGGGATGTGGTGTTTATATTAACCTTCTTGATTGCATTTGTCAAGTGATTTGGCAGTAGGTTATATTTCCTGCATTCTAATAAGAACATAAGTTGCGCCATCTGTTTGGTTAACTTCTGTTTTAGTTTACTGTAGCGTTTCAGTGTCATGCATGTGTGTTCGCCGTGTTTGTACTTCATATGTTTGTAGAAGTCCTTCATGTTTGTTGTTGTGATTCTTCGTTGATGTTTAATAAAAAGAAAAAATATATACTTCGGCAGGCCTTCCGAGATTATACAATTTGATTATTAGTTGATGATCAAATTTTGGTATATTATTTTAGGTATTTCATAGGCGTATCACTTTTATGTGCAAGAAAACACTGTTCTTCACGTTTTTACCCGTTATGAGACACTACTACAGTGTAACATACGTACCTAGACTCAGCGAAAAATTTGATGGAGGCCCCCACTGCGATGGAAAGATCAGGTGGAGAAGGACTTGGCTTCACTTGGCGTTTCCAATTGGCGTCAGTTGGCACAGAGGAGAAACGACTGGCGTGCTCGGCCAAAATCGCTTAGGCGGTTACAGCGCCAAAAAAGAAGAAGAAGAAATACTGAAGACAACGTGTGACTTGATCGGTATGCTAGTATTGTATTTTGGTTGTTAGTGTATTTCTTGCG